TAATTCCAATATAACTCTAACAAGGATGATTAACCATAATAACTCTTCTATGGTTAACTAAAGTTATAATCTTTGGATTCTCTGGACCTCACAAGGTCCAGATCTGAAGTCTAGGCCTCAAGAGAGACCTTATGCATACAAAGTCCCAACAATGGTGGAAGAAACCCTAATCTTCCATATTTACAAGATCTAAGCAAATAACAAGAAAGGTGCAAGCTTTTACCTCTTACTCAAGCCCTTGCACGAAGTTACACCAGATCCACTAATTCTCTAGCTCCCTTGATGGATGATCTCCTCTTCTCCTCAAGAGATGCACTAGTCTACTCCAAGTTTTAGCTTCTAAGACTCCCATGGCACTCTATACACGTTTAGGGTTTGCTCTCAAGGACGGGTAGCCGCAAATGAGGCTATAAGTTCCTTTAAATAGGTCCCAAACCCGGGAAATTAGGGTTTCTCTGCCCAACACCTACTCGGCGAGTCAACTCTCTGACTCGTCGAGTCCAATCATTAATCCCACGTGGACACTCGACTCTACTCGACGAATTGGACTCACAACTTGTCGAGTCACTCCACAAATCTCAATATTAATCACACAATAATATACCTGAAAGTCTGGATATTACACTCTCTCTCTCTCTCTTCTCTCTTTCTCCTCTCTCTCTCCTCATCTATAGATATATATAATATATATATAATATATATATATATATATATAAAATATATATATATATAATAATATAATAATAAGAATAAGAATAAGATAATAATAAAATAAGTTAAAATAATATAAATAAATGATTTAATAAATATAAAAATACTAATAATATAAACTAATTTAAAATTTAAAGAAGACAAAACTGCACAAATGGTCCCCGTGGTTAGCTGAAAATTGCCACTTTGGTCCAAAAATATTTGGACTAGCACCTGAGGTCAAAACTTTTCATTTTGTTGCGAGTTTGGTCCAATTTGCTATGAACTTTTCCTTAATGACGATTTTGCCCTTATTTTTTGTTCTTTTGCAATTTTTTTATTATTTAATTGTTTTTTTTATTAAAGGAAAAATTAAAATTAAAATTTGTATTTTCTATTTTATTTTTATAATTTTTTTTATAACAGAAATAAAAAAAAATAAAAAATGCAAACTCTTTCTCTCTCTCTCTCTCTCTCTCTCTCTCTCTCTCTCTCCCCCCCCCCCCCCTTCTCAAAAAACCCATCACTATTCTGAAAGAAGAAAATACGACTAGAGACTTTCTCAAGTGATCTTCATTTGTCCGAGCACCACCACCTCTATCTTCACTTCTCCTGAGATGTACAACAAAGAAAAACTATCAGATTTGTAAAATCAGACACATATATGGAAATCTTCTCATATACAAAACCATTACCAAATTTACATGAAGATGAATAAATGGTCTAAAAAGAAGGAAAAAGGCAGATCGATTCCAAATATGGGAAGAAGGATAAAGACAGTCCAAGCGACCAGTCATAACAAACCCTGATCGTCGCTGTCACAAGAAACCCTCGAGAAAGATCCGATCTGCAACTCCACAAAGACAGTGATTAATGAAAAAGAAGCTCTGATATGCAACTGCATCTCGACGAACATGACGACGATCCTAATGACCGTCATCACCACCTCTGTAAACCCTAACTTAGTCTCCCTCCTTCTCCAACGACAGTGCTGCCTTTCTCAGATCTACGTCATATTTGTTGACTTGCAGATCGTTACCATGTTATTCGAGTTCCTTAGGATACATATTAAAACCCTTGATGCTCATCAGATCTTAAAGATGAAAACCCTAGTTTCAGATGAGAAGGGTGGTGGCGCTAGGGTTTCGTAAAAGTGGCGTTCAAACAGACCAGATATGGTGGTGTAGCAATCAGATCAGACTCTGAGGTTACGTGGACATGATATATGCAAGGAGAAACACGAAGGCTGGACAAGATCATCAGAGGTTGGAGTTTGACAGACTTAACCACCGCCTTCTTCTGGTGCTTCCAACTGGGTGTGCTTTGAATCCGATGCTTCATCATCATCCTTTCAATCATCAAGTTTTGTGATGGACTTTAGCTTAGACCTGTGTAATTTTTTGGTTTCCTTTATCTAATTTGATGTTCTTCAGCCATTTTTTGATGAATTTTTCGGGAAGAAACAACTAAAGAGTTATAGTGAAGGAGAACTAATGAAGAAAGAAATGGGCATTAACGAGAGAGAGAGAGAGAGAGAGATTTCATTTTATTTTTTTATTTTTTTTTAAATCTGAAAATCAGAAAAACAATTAACAAAAAAAGAGAAAATCATATTAACAGGGGCAAATCCGTCATTTTGAAAAAAATCAGAATAAATTGGACCAAACAAGCAACAAAATGAAAACTTTGGACCTCTGATGCTAGTCCAAACTTTTTTGGACCAAAGTGGTAATTTTGAGCAAATCACAGGGACCATTTGTACAGTTTTGTCTTTAAAGAAAAACTTAAAAAAACCTAATCAAGAAAGAAGTGACAACAGGGTTTATTTAAAAAAAAATGGGGGTTTGTTTAAGTTTGGGAAAAGTAATTAAGAATTAGGCTGTAGTTGAAATTTTGTCTTTTATTTTATCTTATCGTCAATTCCGTTTCCATACACTCGTCATCGTCCCTGCAAATCTCGTCGTTCTACTCTAGGGCAAACAGGCAAATCTTGATGCACGTAATGAAGTCTATGTTTCAAAGAAAACCTCCAATTTTATCCCTCAGACCCGAGTTTCATTCACAATGCTCCTTAACTAATCCCCAGGTTCGAGCGTGTCTATTTCCCCTTTTTTAAAGACTATGCAACTTTAACAGTTCGTTTCGTAGCGATCTTAATACCATCAATATTATGTACAGTGATGAAATTTCATCGAAATTGGAGATTAATAAGTGAAAAACTAAACTTATCATTTATCTCTCAAGAGTTGACAAAGAAGCTGTGTTGTATTTTTGCACAAATTTTTCTAAATAACGCTGAATTCCCAAAGTTAAGATGGGTAATTAGTTTTGTATGTTGAGTTAGCTAGGCTTATTTGGTTTTAATTTTCTAATTTGAACAATTTATAACAAATTTGTTTCTATAAATCTGAAAAAGCTGATCGGGATTTACAGTTTACTTGTTTCCAGGTTGTCTGTAATTCCAGTTCGACGAGGGAAGAGTTTATGATGAAAATTTTGGATCGAAGATGGACATTGAAGAATCCAGACACCAAAGTTCACCAAATAAACGTTTCTAGCTTACAAACACAACCCACTTCTAAACTACTTGGGAACGTTTCCTTTTCAAACAACTCACATCCTTCTTTGGGTGAGAATCTAATGGAATGGCACAATGATCAGTCATCATTCTACATTGTTCGTGATGATTTGTTGCATCCGTTAGTGAATGGCAACAAGGCCAGGAAACTGGATGCATTGCTTCCACTTATTGAAGATCATTTAGGAACCGATGTGGTAAGAATAAGATAACATCTCCTCTCAAATGATCCAAAAATTTAAACGTTTTCATTTGTCTTTAAACTTCTTTACCAATATATGAAAGATTATAGGCCATCTGGGATTCTGCAAGTGATGTCTTGAAGTTCAATTACACCATTTTTATAGGTCACATGTGGAGGTTGCCAAAGTGCACATACTGCAGCTGTTGGTATGTTACATTTACATGCATGTTCCTCATTCTGTTTTTGGATTACAATTCTTGATTTTGTGTTTGTGTGTTTTTCAGCTGTTTCTTGTGCAGAGAGAGGATTAAAGGCACATTTACTTTTACGTGGAGAACAACCTCAAATTCTTACAGGCTACAATTTGATTTCCATGTTATATGGAAATGTCACATATGTTCCAAGATCTGTATATGCTAACAGGGAAGAAATGCTGACATCACATGCTGATTCAATATCTGGGACTGTTATACCCCTTGATGATTTACATTTACTCAAGGATTCCTTTACAAATCACAAGTCAACAAAGTCAAACCTTAATCAGCCTTCAAATTCAAAGAAGATAGTAATTATCAATGAAGGTGCAGGAGATGCCATTGCAATGCCTGGTAAGCTTGAAGTCAACTCATAACTCTATCTTGAATTTTTATAGGTTTTGACTTTTGACTTTTGACTTTCTATAGGCTTGATTCGCCTTGTGAAATACCTGTCACAAGATCATATACTTGGAAAAAATCAACCTCTGAAAATTGTGGTGGATTCAGGCACTGGAACAACAGCTATTGGTTTAGGAATTGGAGCCTTGTGTTTAGGGTATTTGGTTCATTATTTTAAATGAATATATTTAAAACTTCAACTAATAAAAATATTGCTTTACTTCTACCTTTTCCTAGACTCCCATGGGAAATAACTTCAGTGATGCTGGCTGACACCATTGAAGGATACAGAAAACATGAGGAACATTTGATATCTGAGTTGTGTGGATCCTCTGGCTTCCCTTTTGTTATGCATAGTGGACTTGTACATTGGGTTGAACGTGAGCATCCAAGAAAGTATGTTTAATGTTTTACCCTTTTGGATTCTTTGTATTACATTATTATACTAATTTTTTTTCGGAATGATGGATGTTTTGTTGTTTAAAATGCAGATTTGGGAATGTGTTGAAAGGGGAAATAGAAGCATGCCAACAGATTGCTAAAGAAACGGGTGTTTTGGTGGATCCAATATATACATTGGCTGCATGGGAGCTTGCAAGTCAACTTAGTCAACAGGAAAAAAAAGGTGGTGCAAAAGTCGTGATGCTTCATACTGGTGGGACACTTGGCATGTTTGGATTGGCTCAACGCTACAAGTCTTACTTCTAATTTTCAACTACTACTAATATGGGCAATGTACTTTTTTTTTTTTTTTTTTTTTTTTTTTTACCAATTTATGCAACTTGCACAAATTACCCAACAATGTTTCAACTAATTAGACATGTTAACAAAATATAAATTGGTAAAAAAAATTAATCATTGTTAGAACATATTGGTAAAAGTTATGTAAAAGTAAAAGTATGTTTGTTATAATGTTGCAGATTCTGGTCATAGAATGCAACATGGTTGCATATTTTGTGTAAAAAAAATCAGTTTTTTTTTTTTTTTTTTTTGCATAAATACGCATATAATATGAGTAAAACTAAGTATGTTTGTCATAGAACAAAATTGTCTTTATTTATCTTTGTCTTTCCATTTTTCCAAGTGTATTGTCATTTTCTTGTATCTTTAAACATCACTTATTGGAACTTTATGTAGACAACATTTAATGAGGAAAAAAGAAAGTGTATCACAGTAATTTATTGTTAGAACATAAGCTCAATGAGTACCACTAATTGAAGAATACCATTGTATTTATCATATTCAATCTTTTTATTTATCTTCTCTTTGGTCCTTGATTATGTGTTTATCCATCTCCAGTTAGATGAACGCATTGTGATGTAGTGCCAATCAACATCGTCAATAGAAGTTCTCAATTACTACTTTGCTCGATGTACCATAATTTAATTGTGTATTATGGTTCCACTAAGATCTCTCATCATGTAGATAACAAGGTTTTTTATTTTTTATTTTTTTTATTATTTTTTTTTAAATGAGAGCAAATATATTAGCACTAAAAAAAAAAAAAAAAAACTCAAGTAAGGAGCTCAAGTCAAATTACAAGAAAAGTTTGAAAAGAGAGACATACTCCATACATTCCAATCAATCTTTGTAAATTTAGATCTACACTTGATCCAACTAAAAATAAATACTAATGCTAGTAGCATCCGTCAAAGTCAACATTGCTGCCTTTCATTTCTGAAAACCAAAACATTCATCGCCTTCCAAATCACCCACATCGTGGAGTAAACAAGAGTCATGATCGTTTTTTGCATGACTTTTCCACATGTCATCGAATTGAGCATCTCTAAAAGATTTGAAAAGGACAAAGCTAGCTCATTAAAAATAGCTGACAATCCGATAAGCCATCTCTACACATCTACAACATAATCGCAAGAAAGTAGATTACAGGTGGCAAATTGGACAGGTTTGAGTCGAATTTGTTTAACTACGAATAACCTAAATATATGAATTTCAGCAAATTACATTTATGAAATCATAATTTTTATTTAATAAAGAGTAAATCACACGAATGGTCCTATGGTTTTGGGTAATTTGCACGTTTGGTCCCTAACTTATTTTTTAACTCGGAAGGTCCCTACTGTTTGTTTTTGTTGTACGCTTGGTCCCTGTCTTACCTAAAAAAACTATTTTACCATTGATTTTTTAATTTATTTAAATAACCATACCCCCAACTCCACCTCTACCTCACATTACCTTACCTTACATACCCCACCTTATTTAAATAAATTAAAAAATCAAGGGAAAAATAGTCTTTTTAGGTAAGATAAGGACCAAGCGCACAACAAAAACAAATAGTATTTTTTAGGTAAGTTAGGGACCAAACGTGCAAATTACCCAAAATCATAGGGACCATTCGTGTAATTTACTCTTCAATAAACAAATAAATTGCATAACAATCATCACACATCACAAAAAATACAAGGGTAACAAACTTATTAAGGGTTATCGATAATACTAAATTTTGAATTTCTATTAAAACTTTTTATAGGGTGTGTTTGACAAAAACTAGTTGGTAGCGGATAACCTTTTGTTAAACACTACGTGAGATAACATTTAGATTTTGAGCATTTTGTTTAAACTAAATGCTAAAAACTTGTAGTGCCAAACGAGACTTTTTGTTCATAACGAAACGTTTTGTCAAACGCTAGAAGCTCTCAAACGCTCTGTGCCACTGCCAAACACGCCCATAGATGGTAACTCAAAAGAAACTTGAACACAAGAAATCACAACATCAACAATTCTTATTTATTAAGAACCATAAGGTTTTCAAGAGTACTTACATACCAAAACCTCACTACATAATCTCTCTTCTCACTACAGAATAACCTCACTACAAAGTCACTCACCTAATCTACACTCTTATGAATGAATGAATAAGAACCAAAAATTAAACATAAGAACAAGAACCCTAATGATCAGAGAAAGAGAAAATGATCAGGAAGAAGATAAACTCGTATGCTATACAACTTCTCACATACGCAACCAATTTATACATCTGACTAGTCAACCGGGTCACTGAACAACAATACGGATCGGATATGACCCACGTGTTTCATAATTTCACTATATCATCATTCCAGTCCAATACTTTCGCAATTTATACAAGTTATACCCTTCTGCACAAAATCATAATAAAGACAAGCAATACATATAAAAATAAACGAACAAAAATAATTAAAAGGATACTCAAAAGGATATAATGAATTATAAGTTTGTAACATTAACTTCTTATAATTTCAACACCCCTCCGCAAACTTATAATTCAAACAAGTTCAACACTTACTCTGAAAAGGATAAATAAGACCTAAACCTTTACAAATCCATTCATGCTGAGCAACTCCCAAAGGTTTAGTAAAAATGTCTGCCAGATTAAAATCTGAACTCACCTTATGAACTTCAATAACACCTTTTGATACCCTATATCTTATAAAATGGGTATCAACATCAAAATGTTTTGTTTTCTCATGAAACACTGGATTATGTACAAGTTTTATTGCTGACTCATTGTCACAGAAAACGGAAACAGAAGTTAAATCTTTTAAGCCTATATCAAACAATATTTTTAAAATCCACATAATTTCACATGAAATAACACCAAGTGCTCTATATTTTGATTCAGTAGATGATCGAGAAACAGTTTCTTGTTTCTTAATTTTCCAGGATACAATAGTATTTCCAAGAAAAACAACATACCCTGTAACTGATCTTCTAGATACTAAACACTTAGCACAATCAGCATCAACAAAACTTTTCAAATTTAGATTTCCTTTTGTAATAGAAAAACCCCTTCTAGGATTTAACTTCAAATATCTAAGTAACCTTATAGCAACATTAAAATGAGATTTTCTTGGTGCATGCATAAATTGACTCAATACCTGAACAGCATATGAAATATCTGGACGAGTAATGGTCAAATAAATGAGTTTTCCAACTAACTTTTGATAAAGAACAACATTCTGAACCAATATATCATTAACATCAATTTCTTCTCCTTTAACTACAACATTACAGTCTAAAGGAGTCTTAATTGGTTTACAACTCAACATGCCAAACTCATGTAATAATTCCATACAGTATTTCCTCTGACATAAACAAACACCTTTATTTATATCTATAACTTCAATTCCCAAGAAATATTTCAATTTTCCCAAATCTTTGATTAAAAATTTGGACTTTAAAAAACTTTTGACTTTGTTGATTTCTTTATCACAATTACCACTCAAAATTATGTCATCACATATACAAGTAATATAACAACATTACCATTAGAAGTTTTTACAAACAATGAAAAATCATTCATACTTTGAACAAATCTAAATTCAAGTAAAAAACCACATAATTTTTCATTCCACTTCCTGGGAGCCTGTTTTAGCCCATATAAAGATTTCAGTAATTTACAGACTTTGTTATTATTATTTTTATCATTGTAACCAAGTGGTAATGTCATATAAACATCCTCATCCAACACACCATAAAGAAAAGCATTGTTTATATCTAGTTGAAACAAATTCCAATCAAAATTAATTGCAAGAGAAATAACAATTCTGATAGAAACCATTTTTGCAACAGGTGAAAAAGTTTCATCAAAATCTATACCCTCTCTTTGGTTATATCCCTTGGCTACAAGCCTTGCCTTAAATCTCTCTATTTCACCATTAGATTTATACTTTATTTTATACACCCACTTACAACCAATGGGTTTTTTATCAGCAGGTAAATCACAAATTTCCCAAGTATTATTCCTATACAAAGCTTCAATTTCTTCATTCATAGCATTTACCCAGTTAGGATCCAAAGATGCTTGATAATATGATTGTGGTTCAACAGATTTATTTAAATTGGTTGCAAAACACTTATTATCCAGACTAAGAAAAGAATAATTAACAGATCTTTCAATTCCATATTTATACTTTCCTTCTATAACAAAATCATTAAATTTTTGAGGAAATCTAGACTCACGATTAGATTTTCTAATACCTAGAAACAGAGAATCAGAAGTTGCAATATTATTATCTAAGTTTTCCTCAGAACTACTAGTGGGATTAGATGCAACAATCTCAGGTTGCGAACCAGAAGTTTCACAACCACGAGTACCTTCCTGATTAGATGTTGTCGCATCTAAACTAGAACTACCATCAATACTAAAATCAGTTGCACTTGATGGTTGATCAACAACTGTATCACCATCCTGATTATTACATCCTAACCCTCCACTATTTTGATTGTCATCAAAATTTTCAGAAAACAAAAGCTCATCATTGGAAAATGGATCCCAAGGATCCTTATTATTAAAAAAAAGTTGTCTCAAGAAACTGAGAAACTTCATTTGATTTAGAAGCCAACTTAAAAGGAAAGACAGACTCATAAAATTTCACATCCCTGGAAAAGAAACATGAACCATTATCAAGACTAAATAATTTGTAACCTTTTTTTAACATTAGAATAACCAATAAGAATACATTTCTCAGAACGTTCAGAAAATTTATCGGTATTGTTTAACCTTGTAGCAAAGGCTAAATACCCAAACACACGAATTCTATCATTAACTGGAACATGATTATAGATTAATTCAAAAGGAGTTTTACCATTTAAAACAGAAGTAGGAGTTCTATTTATTAAAAAAGCTGCAGTTAAAATAGAGTCTCCTCAAAATTTTTTAGGCAAGCCAGCTTGAAACAACAAAGATCTAGCTATATTCAATAAATGCCTATGCTTCCGCTCAACCACTCCATT